AGTGTTGAACGTCACCGTGTTACCTGTTTAAGTAAGCAAACTAAAAAAATTAACTGCCAATGAATGACTTCTTGTGTGTACCGACTCAGCTCTTTGCTCATATGAGCAAACGGAATATTACATTTTGTGATGCTAAACTCTATTCATGAAGATTAGGACCCGTAGTTGGAGGGACCTGCATCATGATTCATGATTCGATTCAGTTTGATGCAATAAATCATGAATAATATACTGGTTTTTAATACTGATTACATACAACCAAAGTGACTTCTTCAGTAGGCGGAATATCACAGATCACTAATTGAACACATTTCCATACTGACAGTGTAACCGTTTCGGATTGATTCAATATTGCCTCAGCATAATTCAGAGTTCAACTACGGAAAATACTCAGTGAATCCAACAAACCGCAGGTTCGGGTTTGGCTGTCGTACATATGCACTGGCCAATCCAGTTTGAGTCTCGAACCCGTCAAACGGAAGACGATTATTATCTGTGTGCCGACTATCTACCACTACTGCTGAATAAAACCATTAATTACCTCTGTTCAAACGTGGACTTCATACACATTCAAATAATTACTGGTTTAGCAGCTTTGAAGGTAACAGTTGACTTCCAATTGGCTCGAATAAAATAAATGCAACCTAATCAGGTCTTCCATACGGTTGTTCTTGGCCAATTTCCCTAATCATATCTGTATAAAGCTTACCTTGAATTGACTTGAGATAGCTTGACTAGGATGATGTTTGCAAACAGTGCCATGACTTGAGTTCAACTGTATAGAATAAAACGTGGAATTCAATAAAGCATACCACAGTAGCTTGCAGGAACTTGTGTTTATATTTTATAGCTTTCTATAACTTGAAGGTCGCATCTTCAATCTGGTTGAAAGAGACCCCATTTGGTCTGAATGCATGCATTTTTTACTCAGGTAAAGCGAATGTGCACCACCTCTGAGTACGCTTTCATAGTCATAGACTAAAGCTCAGGCAGTTGTCAGATACTGTATTGTCACCCTACTTTGGGGATGAAAGCACCACCAGTGTGATCCAATATGATGGACATTTTCTGGTTTCTCAAATTAGCTGAAATAAGACACAAGACGACTTGTTGATGGCTGGAAGACATTTGTTGTCCATTTCTACGGGAATTTCTTTTTTACCAGGAGCCTGATTAGACTTGAAGCAGTAGCGATCTCTGCATGGACAGAAGCACACAGCTGATGTCGGATTTGGAATTTGAGGTCTGCTGAATATCTGGGTGAAGAGTAGCAGGGTTGAACAGAACGTCCTATCCATCTAGTTGTCTTATCGACAATAGCGTGAATAACTCCATCGGGAAAATTGAGCAAGACAGGTTAAATGGACTGGAAATGCTAGGCAAAAGTACTTTCCAAGGGGATATGTACTGTTTGCAGTTTCCACCTTAAGTGCTTTTACGCTTCGGCAGTTGGGCCTAACTGTTCTCCTAAGGAGCAATCTACGGCGAGCATGACAGTGCTCCTCCTTTTATAACTACAGTTTTACCAAGTTGTGCTGTAAGGTGGTCTTTAAGGAATAACTAGTTGAGAAGATATCAAGCATTCCTCGATTCGGATTAATCAGTGCAGTTTCTCCTAGTATATCGTGAATTTGACGCAAGAAATGTTTCCCGTTTCTATTCGCATATCGAAAAATGTTTAGCAGTGCATTGTGGAACTAAAAATGCCGCATTTAATGTTGATATACCCAAACTCAAATATTTCTTTTGTGCAACAAATGAAACAGTGGTTTGTGCCGATGATAATGCAATTATAAACGGAAATACAAAAAAAGAAAGAAACATTACGGGAATCTTTGTTTGTCGAATTAATTGATCCATGGTCTCAATATCCTCCGCCAGGCCACTGACCGCAAGCCGAGCCGAAAGATTGCATGTGACCAGGAACATCATACACGCGATAAATAGCCAAAGGCTCGCTATTGCCAGTTTACAAGAAATCGATCCGGGATCACAACTGTCGCCTAGCGCCAGCGGTTGGAACAAAAAAGTGCCAAGGGAAATTTTTAATTGTTCTATTATTTAAAATGTGGATAGAATGTGTCAGTGTGAGGGAAATTCGAATGTCACAAACGGAGTAAAAATAGTCCTATACAATACTTCGGCGAGCAGAGAAGCACTTTTATCTCAGAGGCATGCTGTTCAAAGTCAATTCAGGGTTGGCTGTATTTGGAATAATTAATTAAATGGTTTATGTGCAAACTTTTCCTGCTTCAGATCGTTCAACAAAACTGAGCCTAATAGGGTGATTTGGTCCAATGCATCCATACTATGTACGTTTTGGAACTTTTCGTAAAAGCGTTTCCGCATTTAAGCCAACAAATTTCACTTGATAGCTCATAAAACGGGGGAAATAATGGGGGTTGAAAAGATTAATTGTCGAAAGTTGCTGAGACTGGGGGGTGATGGATTAAATATCATTATCAATGCATCCGGACACAGATAGGAATGCAGCACGTGTT